TCTTCTTTGCTCAGTTTGGGCAACTTGTATTTCTCTAAAAATGCATCCATTTCTGCCATATTTTCTTCCTTTAGAGAGTATAGCTTTTGAAAGTAGTCTGTTAGAATTGTTTGGATATCTTGGGTACGTGTTGTGATGTTTCCCGTGGCATCCCTAATCCTATTAATATGGGTTTCCTCTCTCCTTTTTTTAATTAATCTAGCCAACGGGCCATCAATTTTGTTTATTTTTTCAAAGAACCAGCTTTTTGTTTGGTTTATTTTGGTTATGGGTTTCTGATTTTCTAATTGGTTAATCTCTGCTCTTAATTTGGTTATCTGGCTTCATCTAGTAACTTTAGGTCCCATTTTTTCTTGTCTTTCTAGCTGTTTTAATTGCAACATGAGATTATTTACTTGGTCTGTCTCCATTCTCTTGATGTGGGCACTGAGGGCAATAAATTTGCCCCTCAGGACTGCTTTTGCTGTGTCCCACAAGTTTCTTTGTGAGGTATTTTCATTTTCATTGAGTTGTAGGAAATGCTTTATTTCTTCTCTGATCTCTTCCGTTACCCAGGCATTGTTAAGGAGTGTGCTGTTCAATTTCCATGTATTAGAGAAATTTCTGCGCTATGCTTTGTTATTGAGAGCTAGCTTGATTTCACTGTGGTCAGATAGGATACAGGGGATTATGTCGATCCCTTTGTATTTGCTTAAGTTCCTTGCATGAACTATGATATGCTCTATTTTGGAGAAAGTTCCACGAGCTGCTGAGAAGAATGTGTACTGTGTTGTTTTAGGGTGAAATATTCGGTAGATGTCAGTTAATTCCGCTTGAAGTATGGCCTCACTTAATTCGGTAGCTTCGTTGCCAATCCTCTGGTTGCTAGACCTGTCCTTTGGTGAGAGTGGTGTGTTGAAGTCTCCTAGTATTATCATATTGGGATCTATTTTATTCTGTAAGTTTGAGAGCATTTGTTTAATATATCTGGGTGCACCAATATTTGGGGCATATAAGTTGATGATGGTTATATCCTTCTCTTGGATTGTCCCCTGTATTAATATGTAGTGTCCGTCCTTGTCTTTCTGTACTGATTTTAATGAAAAGTTTATTTTATCAGATATCAGGATAGCTACACCTGCTTTCTTACTGGGGGCATTTGATTGGTAGATCCTTTTCCAACCCTTCACTCTGAGTTTGTTTGTATGTTTGGCTGAGAGGTGGGTCTCCTGAAGGCAACAGATGGATGGGTCTTGTTTTCTGATCCAGTCCTCAGTTAGTTTTCTTTTAATTGGCGAATTCAGCCCATTTATATTAAGAGAAAGTATAGAGAGATGCATTGTTGTCCCTGCCATTCCGTTTTCCTAAGTTTTTCTTCTTTCCTTTCCTCCTGTGCTTGCTCAGTTAGACTTTGAGTAATGCCTGTTTGGGGCAGGTCCCAGTTCCTGGTTGCTTTCTTCAGGTTGTGTCCCCCCTCTTAGAATTCTTTGTAATGCTGGCTTAATGTTTATGTATTAATTTAGTTTTTCTTTGCTATTAAAAGTTTTCAGTTCTCCATCGAATGTGAATGCTAGCTTTGCCGGATATATGTCTGGGTTGGCAGTTATTGGCTTTCAGGCTCGTGTGGTGCTTTCCCAGGCTTTTCTTGCATTCATTGTTTGTGTGGAGAGATCTGCAGTGATTCTAATTTTTTTCCCGTTGTAGTATAGCTCCTTCTTCATTTTTGCTGCATGCAGGATTGTTTCCTTATTATTCAGATCTATCATTTTTACTATAATGTGTCTAGAAGTGTTTCTCCTGGGATCTTGCTTGTTGGGTGTTCTATACGCTTCTGTAAAGTAGGTAAGATGGTCCTTTTTGAGGTGGGGGAAATTTTCGCTGATTATCTTGTTAAATAGGTGTTGCATTCCCTTGCTCTGGAATTCCTCACTTCGTCCACTTCGATTATGCGAAGGTTAAATTTCTTGGCATTATCTGCTTGCTCTTGAATTTCCCTTTGGTTTAATTTGAGTGATTTTTCCATATCTGTCACTTTTTGGTCCAGTTGGTGTATTCTGTCTTCTGTATCTGACACTCTACCTTCCATTTCATTCACTCTGTTGACCGTGGCTTCTATTGTGGTTTGCATGGAGGAAATGGATCCCTTTATGGATTCAATGTTGGCTCTCAGAGTACTGATCTCAGTATGTATTACCTCTAATTTGGCGTTTATCTCACTTCTTACTGAGGTTTGTGCAGCTTCTATTTTTGCATCCAACTCTTGTTTGATATCCTGTATCTCTTTTGATAGTTCATCCTTGTGCTCTTTCAATTTCTGATCAATTTCTCACTTTATTTCTTGAATCATTGCCTCCAGCAACCCTTGGATGTAGCTTTTGTCTTCCATTCCTGCTTTGCTCCCACTGGGGCTCTCCCCTGCATGGCTGCTGGCTTTTGTGGTGAGCTTGCTGTCCTGGGTGGTAGTAAACCTTGTGATTTTTCTCTGTGATTTTCGCATGGGGGTTCAGGAGACTGCTCTGCAATTTTGTTTTGGTGTGTCTGTCTTTGCTTGGTTGCTGATTCTGTATTGGTAGAGAAAGTCTGTGCCTGATCTGGGTTCTGTTGGGAGCCTATTTCCAGCTGCTATTCTGACCTACTTAGGATTCTCAGCTCTCTGCTGTAGATTGCTGGCAATTCCCACCTTTGGGAGGGTTGAGCAGCCTAGACTGCTTGTGTTTGCTCCTACGGGTGCTCTTGGGAAGATCAGATGCTCTGGATGCACTCTCCCAAATACTGGAGTCTGCTATGGGCTCCTGATGTGTTTTTGTTTGTTTGTTTTGGGCTGGTTGTGGGCTTGAACTGTAGGTTTGGGTGCTGTCCCTCAGCTCTTCAGTTCAAGGCTGGCACCCTACCATTTGAGCTACAGCACCACTTCTGACCCTTTTTGCTTTTGTGATGCTGAGGAATCAGATCCAGGGCCTCATACATCCAACACTATCACTCTACTGCGGAGCCGCCTTATCAGCCTGAGCTCCTGCTTACTATCAGGTGCTGGCGGCCTGTGTTGCCCAATTTCCAGCCTAGGGTATATGGGTGGAGTTTTGGTGGGGTTTGGGCTTCTCTTGTCCTGAGCCTCCAGGTCTTTTGTTGTCACAGGCGTGCTTCCCGGGGAGTGCTGTTTCCTGATTTTCTCCCCTCTGTTGAGGTGTATGCTCAGCTTTTGACTTCAGTTGGGAAGAGTTGGTTGTGTTGTTCAGGCGCCGGATCCCCGGTCCTGGTTCCAGCCTCAGCCTGGAGCGCGCTCATTAGGCCTGTGCTGATGTGTATACCACCTAGGTTATGCAGCCTGGAGGACACAGTTCAAATTTCTTCTACTGTTGGTAGTCTTGACCCAGAGGCGCTGTTCCTGGATTGGGCATTTAAGCTCCCTTCCAGGGGCACTCTTGCTCTGGCCTGGCCAGCGGAGTGTGCTCCACGGGCTGGTGGAGCTCTCGAACAGTTCCCAGTTTTAGTGGTCCTGTGGTCCGGGTGTTGGGGTAGGGAGTCTAGGTCAGGGTCTGGGGATTCCCTCCAGCTCTTGTCTCCCTTGAGGGATACACTGTCCCCTGTGGGGTACTCACCCTGGAGCTGGTTGTTTCTGTGTGGTGTAGGTCGTCAGTCATTGCAATCCGAGTTCAGTTGGGGTGGTTGCGGTGGTGACTCTGTGTGATTCTTTTCTGTCTCTGCCTCTATCGAAGCTGTCGGGTCCACAGTGTCCATGCTCAGGCGGCTTCTTCGCGGGTTGTAGAGATCCAGTGGGTCTGACGCCGGTGCCTCAGGCGGCTTCTGCGCAGGTGGTCTGCAGACAGGTCCCTTTGTCGCCCTGCCGGTGCCGGGCAGCTTTGGCGGGATGGAGCCTCTCTGCTCCGGTGGAGAGTGAGGGGTGGGGGTAGGATCCTTGTGGAGACTCCCGGCTGGTAGGTTTCTCTGTTCCTGGCGATCAGTTGTTCTGCAAACCAGTACCTCAGGTGGCTTCTGCGAGGGTGATCTGCAGGTGGCCCCCTGTGTCTCTGGGGCTCCGGCAGCCCCCGCCGGGCCGGCTGGCTGGCGGCTTGGCGCACTGCCTCACAGCCAGTAAAGGTTGGGGGAGGGGTCTTCGCTCTTCTCTGTTCTGAAATTCTTCTTTTCCTCTCTTTCTTTTTTTGTTATTTTCCACCTCCTGCTTTTCTCTGAGTGTTCGTCTTTTTGTTGTTGTCGGTCTCTTGGGGAGATTAAGTGTTGGAACTCGAACTCTTTTTTTGGTTGGGGAGAGCTGTGGCGTTTCCCTACTGCCCCGTCGCCATCTTGGTCCCCCCTTGTCAGTACAGTTTTTTAGACATTTGTCTGTGATTTCCTGTTTTCTTTCTTTAGTCTGGAATTCATTTCATAGGTGGAATCAACTTCAGTGGACAGCCCCTGTGGTTTTCTTGTGAGTCTATATGTGCCCATTGGCTTGACATGGCACTTCTGACATTTGTTCAGTTCTCCTCTGTGTGCCTTAGACTTTCTAGTCTGTTCAATTGGCTTGTATGTTATTGAACCAATGGCTCACGTATTTTCTTCTTGAGCTGAGCTTGGTGCTGCACTGAGTGTTTGTATGTTTTTACACATTTTATCTTCTCAACACTAGGGAAAGTGAGTGCTGCTGCTCCCATTTGACAGATTAGGTAGCTGAGGATCAGAGTGAGTAAGTCCTGACACACACTCTTTGGGGGATCGGACTCAAAGCCTGAACTGCCAGCCCGTGGCAGAGCTGCCTTTGAAGAGTGCACCTCATCAGGGTGAGCCTGGCCCTGCCTGCTCATTTGCAGGTGGTCTCTGTGATGAGGACACAGTCTCCAAACGTGCACGTGTAGCTGGAACTTGGTCTGTGAATCACTTCTGTGCACTTGGTCACCACTTGTAGTTGTTGGGGATAAGCAGCAGCCTCTGCCAGTCTAGGCTTCTGGTTGTCTGTAGAACTTCATGGATTGTAGCCTGATGAACTTCTGTTAAAATTTATTTCCTTTCTTTCCTTTTGAAAGGAAAAGATTCAGAGTGGAAGAAGAAATACCCACAGAAAGGAAAGAAATCTCGAACAGAAGATGACATAGAAGCTAAATTGCCGGAGGCTTGGGAGCAGAGCACCTTCTCTCTCCAGCTGGCGGTGATGCCGCTCCTTGCTGGTAGCTAACACGTTCCCTGCAGTTCTGCCTGTCTTGCCACATGAGACTAGATATTCTCACATGGGATGCTCCTGGCCACCAAACCCCTGCTGTGTTCCCACCTCCCTGCACCCTCACTGTCCCTTCAGATATGTGGGGGAACTGTCTCCCAAGGACAGAGGAAGAAACAGAGGCCCCAAGAGGTTAAGTACATTGCCCAGGATCAAAGTGAGGTTTTGAGCTCAGGTCTGTTTGATTCTAAAATCCAAAGAAATTTACGTGAGAATGTAAGTTCTAAATAAGTAAGTAAGTTTCTAAATAAGATGTTTCTAGTGCACACTTAATTACAAGGTTTCAGGAAGTCTGTAGTAAAAGTAATGAGCAAAGAGAAACGTTTTTCTGAGCATTAGGTGCCTGTCACGTATGTGAGATTATTTCTTCTCATGAGAAACTCCCATTCTCTCAATAGCCCTGTGGGGGTGGAGTTGTGAGCAGAGCTTTTCATTGTCATACTCAGAGAGGTTAATAACTTACCCAAGGCAATTCAGGTCAATGGAAAGTAAGGATTAGATTCTTTTGCTTACATTTAATCACAATTTATTGGCTGTTTTTTTTTTTCATTTTTGTAATCAGTAAGATTTTTACTATATGAAAGGTGAATATTTTTTGTAAAATTATGTGGGGTTTTTTGCTCAAAGAAGGGTAGTGTGTGTGTGTGTGTGTGTGTGTGTGTGTGTGTGTGTGTGTGTGTGTGTGTGTGTGTGTGCACACGCGCGCATGCGCGCGCAGAAGCCTCATTTTAGAGAAAACAATTTCAAAGCTCATTTGGACTATTAACTGGCAGGTAGGATTGGCCACCCTCTGGAGAGGTGTGGATTCTGGTCGTTGAGCTGGAACCTCCTGAGACTCTCCTGGGTCAAAGCCTAATCTATCTCATTGCACGGCTTTCTGTGCTCCTGGCTGGTGCTCTGCCACTTGAGTCACACCTCCAGTTTTGGTTAGTTAGGTATGATAGTCTTTTAGATTTGTCTGACCCTGGCTGGCTCATAACCATGATTCTCAGATCTCAGCCTCCTCAATAGCTAGGGTTCTAGGCATGAACCACTGGCACCCAGTTCCAGAGTATTATTTTAAGGGTGATGCGTGTAAACGACTTTGCAAGGGGCCTTGCACACAGCAGAACCGAGTGATGACTGATGGGAGTGGTGCCTGCCCTCCAGGACAATGGACTGGCCAGTGCTGGGTCCTGGGACTTCAGCAAGGAGGCTGGAAAGATAAACCTATGTGCACACACAGATGACAGCTGAGGGTCATAATCTGTGAATGTCTTGATTAAAACTGCACTGTAAACTGCATTGAATATGAATTAATTTAAGTTCTAATTGCTCTACTGTGGTGGGTGGTACAGTCTAAGCTGGAAGTCTTAAATCACCTCTCAGCATGAAGTGCGTGCCCTCTGATCTGTGGCTGTCCAGAGCAAGGGCTAACACTGCATTTCTTCTCAGGATGTTACACTGTCGTAAGTCGTGGCAGTGAGAAGTCTGCCAACATTTTAGATTGCTTTTTGAGTTTAAAAACAGAAGTTCCTATCATGACAGAGGAGCAAAAGCAGGACCTAAACCCCCTGACCATAAAGATCAAGTGTGCCTCCTGCCTTCCCTCACAGCCTGTGCCTGTGAATGATCTAGAGGTAAGACCAATCAGGACCCCTGGGTGACACGCTCTTTCTGCGTTTCGTCTCTAAACCTTCCAGTGGCTCTGAGAAAGGTCACTGAGGAGGATTCTGACACTCAGGATTCCACAGGAAGACATGAAAGAGATTAAACTCCTGAGGCTAGGAGCCACAAAATTTGAGGTTCCTCACCACAACACAGGTTCTTGGTTACTAACTTCTCTTCAGAAAATAGCGGCTCCTCTGTTAAAACAACAGCCATCCAGGTGCTCACTTGTGAACTGACAGGTTTGGTGCTGCAGCTGATTGATCTTGTCCTGATTGTGTTTGTGTACTGGGCTCTGTGTTCCTCTTGGTTTATTCTGGTCTTGTTGGAGCATATCCTCCAGTAACTTCTCGAAAAAAAGTCAATGTGATACTCCCCCAGCCCTCTTATTTTTCATATGTCTGAAAATATCTTTTTTCCACCCTCACACTTGGTGATATTTTGGCTGATTATAGAACTACAGGTTAAAAATCGTTTTCTTAAGAAGTCATTTTCTTTCAGTTTTAAAAGCATTGTTCATATTCTGGTATATTGTGTGTGTATATATATATATATATACACATACATATATATATATATGCTCTTTTTTATTTTTCTCAAAGCCTGTAGAACCTTCCTTTTGTCTTCTGAAACTGCTTATTTATGTGTTTTAATGTGAATATATCCATACAGATTCATTATACGTTTTCATATTGAAATGTAAATTCATAGGAAGTTGCAAAGATTTATAGCAAGACCCATGTCTCCTCCAATTTTCTCCAGTGCCTATTTGTTACATAATGATAGCACAATATTAAAGTCAAGACGTTAACATTGGCTCAATGTGTGTATGCCATTTTATCATGTGGGTAGATGTCCATTGTCCTCAAGCTGCAGAAATATTTTTTAACGATAAGGACATGTAACTCTTCTGACTAGCTAGGATTTCAGGAGTGAGCCACTGGCACCCAGGCAGGGGACCTCAAAAAGAAATATCTGTTAACCAGGCGCTGATGTCTCATGTCTGTAATCCTAGCTACTGTAATCCTAGCTGAAATTTGAGGGTTGTGGTTCAAAGCCAGCTCAAGCAGGAAAGTATATGACACTGTAATCTTGAATTAATTACCAAAAAGCCAGAAGTGGAGCTGTGACTTAAGTGGTAGAGCACTAGCATCAAGAAAAAAAAGTGTACAGTGCCCAAGCCCAAAGCTCAGGACCCTCAACTGGTACAAAAATATCTCAGTCGCTGCCCTTATTTAAAATAACCTGACTGTAGTTACACATGATCAATTGCTGAAAAAGAAGGCTTTGCTTTTGCTGTTTATTTTTGTATGTCTCATGCATTTCTCTATTCCTTTATTACTACTTTTTGTGCATTTAGTTGATATTTCATAGTGTATCCTGTGGGATTCATCCATGCTCACATGGCAACTGTACCTCATTTTTAAAAAAAATTCTGTTGCGGGCTGGGAAGTTGGCTCAGTGGTAGAGTGCTTGCCTTGCATGCATGAGGCCCTGGGTTCGATTCCTCAGCACTACATAAGCAGAAAAAAACCCGGAAGTGGCACTGTGGCTCAAGTAGTAGAGTGCTAGCCTTGAGCTGAAGAGCTGAGGGACAGCGCCCAGCTCAGAGTTCAGACCCCATGACTGGACCCAAAAAAAAATTTTCTGTTGCATTCTGTCCTCTTGCCTGAAGTATACATGTGAGTGGTTTCCATATTTCTTCACCTTCCATGACTCCATGAACATTACTGTACATATTTCCATATGTACTTTGCAAGAGCACCCCCCTGATGATGGCTTTCCTTTATAAACATGCATTGAGTCACCCGGAGACCCTGACTGCAGACTTGTGTGCTCCGCGGTTGATTACAAAGTCTTTGCCCCAAGCTTGAAGCATGCATACCTTTCCACCTTCTGCCTCTGCTTCCTCCTGTTCTCCACACTCTCTGTAACCCCAACCTCCTTGCACACCTCCTTTGTTCCCTGTGACTGCTTTCAGCTTGGATACCTATGCCAGGCTAAAAGAGGCTCCTGCCAACTTCCAGATGCATGTCAGGAAAACAGCAGATAAACTTTTGTAGACATGAGGCCTGCTGGCCTGCCTGCCTTCCTTCTTTTCTTTTCCTTTCCTTCTTTCTTCTTTCTGCTTTCTTTTCTTTCTTTCTTTCTCTCTCTCTCTCCCTCCCTCCCTCCCTCCCTCTCTTCCTTCCTTCCTTCCTGTCTGTCTGTCTGTCGTGTGACCTTGGCGCTGTCCCTCAGCTCTTCAGCTCAAGGCTAACACTCTACACTGGAGCCACAGTGCCACTCTTAGCTTTTTCTGCTTATGTGGTACTGAGGAAATGAACCCAGGGCCTCATTCATGCGAGGCAAGCGCTCTACCACTGAGCCACCTTCCCAGCCTGATATTAGATTTTTCTTTTGTGGAGCTGGTAATGGAACTCAGGGTATCCAGCATGCTGGGAAAGTGTTCTGCTTATTCACACACCAGTGGAATTATCTTTTCAAAAACCTGCTTATCTCCACCTTTTTTCATACTTAGCCTTAGTACAGGAACCAGAAGCACAGAATCAAAGACACATGACCTGTGCTTTTGGATCTTGCAGTGTGGATGGAAAATGATTCTGAGTGCCCATCACCAAGTCAGTCTTATCTTGTGCCAGCTACCATCTTGAGTATGTTCATGTGTATTGTGTGTGGGCCTGCACTGGCTTCACAGAGTGGGCTTCATGTTAGGCATCTTGTGGAGAAGAAACTCAGGCTCTGGGGCTGCGGGTAGCAGGTGGGGTGTGCCCAGGTGTGCATTTCCCTCCTGAGGGCCTGCTGTTGTCACCTGCTGTCTTACAGAGGCTGTGCGCACCCGTGTACTGCAGTTATCAATTCTACAAGACGCCAGTTCACAAGACAAAGGGGGAGCCACACGGGACCCATGTATACTTCCAGGACATCAATGTCATCTTCCTTGGAGCCATCCATCCCAGTGACCTGAGGGAGTACCTGGAGGGCCCCCCGATGGTGGTGGAAGTTCATGACCGGGACCGGAAGTCAGAAGAGTATTCTCACAAGCTCACCCGCTTTGGAGAGAGTACTCTGGATCCATACATCAACCTCCAGACCCTCATCTCTTCCAAAGAGACAGAGAACAATCCCTTTAAGTCCCAGAACAAGACATGGGACCCTTACGGGGTTGCCCAGGTCAGCTTTGCTGACCTGCTCCTTGGCCACAAGTACCTGAACCTGGTTGTCCCCATCCACAATTGTGAGCCCAAGGGCGCAAGCCACAGCTGGGCCCTCAGGAGCAGGAAGGCTGTGGGGTCCCAAGTTCCCACAGATATCCTCCAGCTCAGCCCGATGCCCATGGGCAACTACCTGGAGGCTGATTCACTGCTCAAACTGCGAGTGGACGTGGCAGTGCCCTTGAACGTTGGGGTACAAGCCCCCAGTGCAGACCTCACAGCCACCCGGTTTGGTCGCATTGTTTTTGTGTTTGACTCCAAGAAGGTGTTCCTTCTACAGAGCTTGCTGCAGGACATCACTGCCATCAATGCCAAGGCCCTGGAGCTGGATACATACCCAGCCAAGAATATCCAGCAGATCCTGTCTGCCTTCAAGATGCGGGTGAAGATCCAGGACCAACTGGATATGGATCTGCTCACCGGCTTCCACCTGCTGGATGGGAAGATCCACCTCCTCATCCTGGAAGGCTTGGCAGACCAAGGCTTGAAGCAACTGTGGGAGAAACATCAGAGTAGGTGAGTGACTCCCTCCATATCCCAGATGGGCAACAGTGTTCTGGTCGTAAAGAGTAGAACAGCCTTTCAAAGCCAAGGTTAGGGTTAGTATCTTAGTCTGAGAAAGAGATTCTGTTCCCCTCAAGAGTTTATTGTCAGCTGCCTGTCAGGGCTCAGGAATGGGAGTTGATAACCAGAATTTTTGCCTTTGGTTGAGGTGAAGAATTGAATGGGGTACATAAGATCTGGTGATTCAGAGAATGAATCTTGCCTCAGACTTCTGAGCAAGGACTATCTTGGACAGCCTGGGCAGAATGCTCTGTATTAGATTTCAGTTCATCCCAAGAAATACTAATGTAACCATTTTGAGCCCAGTGAGGATGTTCAGGAATAGGAAGCTGCTTGTCTCTGGACTCTTCAGGGGCACTGGTATGGATCCTTGGAGGACATCGTAGAGATAAAGTGTCAGGTTCTGTGCCAGAGCAGCTCTCATGAGTCTCGCATTCTTGAGTTTCAGTGGTGTGATAATTCTTCTTCTGTGACAATCTGGAAGCATCCACATCTGAGTAAATAAGGCTCCCCTCTAGTGGGAAGAACCCTCTTTGGCCCACAGAGCTCACATGTGCTGGCAGCGAGGAATCCAGAAGTGAGTATGTTTGCCTAAGAGGCTGGTCAGCACTGGGCAAACTTGCCCTGACCCGCTGACAAGCCACAAGGCACCAGAAGGAATCTGGCCTACATCTGGGCCTGTGCTTAGGACATACAAAAACTTGTAATGTCATAATACATGACAGTCATAAGTATTCAGAAATAGAAACAACCTAAAGTTCATCAAAGGATTAGCAATGTGTGGTATGCTTATAAGATAGATATTATTCAGTCAGAAAAATTCAAGTACTGGGGCTGGGAAGGTGGCTCAGTGGTAGAGCGCTTGCCTTGCATGCATGAGGCCCTGTGTTCGATTCCTCAGCACCACATAAGCAAAAAGAAAAAAGCCAGAAGTGGCGCTGTGGCTCAAGTGGTAGAGCCCTAGCCTTGAGCTGAAGAATTCAAGTACTGTGACACTTTAACATGATTCTACCTTGAAAACATTATGCTATATAAAGAAGCTAGGCACAAAGGGCCATCTTGCCCAGTGTTAGAATGTGAGGTCAGCAGTGCTCCACACTCTTCCAGACCGCAGAGACAGAAGTTGTGGGAGGAACCAGTTTTATTCCAGGCCAGGTATTTCCATATATACATACAGTACACTTAAAGAAATTTCATCCTGTCCACTACATTTCCAGTCCTCCCGTTCTCATTCTCCAGCTCCTTTTCAAACAGCTTTGGTAGGTTTTAGGGTTTGTGTGTGTGTGTGTGTGTGTGTGTGTGTGTAACATTCTTCAATACAATCTACCACTCTTCCCTTTTTTTCTCTTCCTCTTCTCACTGACAACCTCCTAGACAGTTCTGTTTACATTCTTGTCCCATTACCATCATCATTGTCATCATCTGCATCATCGTTTTTGTCGTCGTCATCATCATCATCATCATTTTCATCATCTGTTTTCCACCTATACTTCACAAATGAGGGAGAAAATGGGGCTCAGGCTTACTGAATCTCCACTTCCATTCCATTTCACTGAAAGTCTCATAGCTATGACAAAACTTCATTTTCCTTAGTGGCAGAGAAATATTCCACAGTCCAAGCATGTGCATGCATGCATCTGTGTGTCATATGTTTAGTTTTTTGAGGAGCCTCCATACTGAATGCCATTGAAGTTCTATTAGCTTACATATGGTTTGTTTTCTTGGGTAAGATGGAATCCTAGTATAGTTTTGAGGAGCATTTCTATATGTATTAGCTGTATTTTTTTCTTCTGAGAATTGTCTGTTCAATTCAGTTACTCATGGGTTAGTTGGATTATTTGTCCTTTTGCTGTTTACTTTTTGGAACTCTTGTTTTTTTTTTTTTGGGTCCGGTCATGGGGCCTGAACTCTGGGCCTGGGCGCTGTCCCTCAGCTCTTCAGCTCAAGGCTAGCCCTCTACCACTTGAGCCACAGCGCCACTTCCGGCTTTTTTCTTTTTGCTTATGTAGTGCTAAGGAATCGAACCCAGGGCCTCTGGCATGCAAGGCATGCGCTCTACCACTGAGCCACCTTCCCAGCCATACTTTTTGGAACTCTTATATAATATTCTGGATAGTGAGCTTTTATACCTTACATAGCTGCCAAAATTTTTTCCCAGTCCATGGATTATATCTTGGTTCTGGCAATTGTTTCTTTTGATGTGCAGTAACTTCTAAATTTGATTTTTTTTTTTTTTTTTGGGTCTGGTCATGGGGCCTGAACTCTGGGCCTATGCGCTGTCCCTCAGCTCTTCAGCTCAAGGCTAGCGTTCTACCACTTGAGCCACAGTGCCACTCCGGCTTTTTTCTTTTTGCTTACGTGGTGCTGAGGAAGCGAACCCAGGGCCTCAGCATGCAAGGCAAGCGCTCTACCACTGAGCCACCTTCCCAGCCCTCTAAATTTGATTTTATCCAATTTGTCAATTCTTGTGCTTCTTAAGCAATTGGAATATTACTTAACAAAATTACCTATCCCTATACCTTCTAGAGTTTTCTTTGTAATTGTTTAAATTTTCATGTTTTGGGGCTGAGAAGGTGGTTCAGTGGTAGAGAGCTAGCCTTGAGCTGAGGAGTTGAGGGACAGCGCCCAGGCCCAGAGTTCAGGCCCCACAACTGACAAAAATAAATAAATAAATAAGTTTCAGATTTTACCCTAGGATCCTTGATCTATTTCGAGCTGGTTTTTTTTTTTTTTTTTTGCCGGTCATGGGGCCTGAACTCTGGGTCTGGGTGCTGCCCCTCAGCTCTTCAGCTCAAGGCTAGTGCTCTACCATTGGAGCCACAGCGCCACTTCCGGCTTTTTCTGTTTATGTGGTGCTGAGGAATCGAACCCAGGGCCTCATGCTTGCAAGGCATGCACTCTACCACTGAGCTATCTTCCCAGCCCTCGAGCTGGTTTTTATGCAGGGTGTGAGACAGCAAGTTTCACTTCTCTGTTACCTGGATAACCAGTTTCTCAGCTGCACTTATGGAAGGTGCTTTCTTTTTAAGTTTCTTTGTCAAAAATTAGTTGGTTGTAGCTGTGTGGTTCTGTTCCTGCATTCTTGTACTGATCAGTTAGTCTGGGTCATGCTGGTTTTGTTGCTGTGTCCTGTAGTATAATTTGAAGTCTGATGCTGTGATGCTTCCAGGGTTGCTCTTTTTTTGCCCAGGATTGCTTTTTGCTATTTAGAGTCTTTCATGCCTCCATATGATTTTTCCATGTTTTTGAAGACATCAGGATGTTGACTGGGATTGCATTGCGGTTGATAGTTTTTGGTGGTCACAGTAGTAATCTACTCATCTATGTGCACGGGTTGTCTTTCCATCCTCCCGTCTATTCTGGGGACACAGCTGCATATTTGCTTTGCCTTTTCCCCAAGATGAGCTTGCTTACTGTTCTGTCATTAGGAGGGAAGTTGAGAAAGGGCAAAGAAGACAAAAAGATCCAGGAGGAATTTCCACTACTGCAGAGGGCTTCCACCCCCACAGTTCCACCTGGCTAATATTTCTTTTCTCCCTGCATTTTTTTTAGTGGTTTAAGATTCAGTAATTTTGATTTTCACTAGTTTTTGCCTGTATTTTGGCATCTTTACCTACACTGGGCCTTCCTTTGGTCCATGGAGACCCAGATCAGCAATTCAAATTTTTTCCCTGCTTTCTAATATTTTTTATAGTAAAAAAGAAAGGTTTATTGAAAAGTGATATTGCTTTTATTTATAGGTTTAGAGAGTTTTTTTTAGAAAAAATACTTCAGACTTTCTTTTTTATAAAGATTGCTTAAACAATTTTAATAACATGACCTAAAACCTAACCTCAATATAATCATTATGTAAAACACAAGGATGAATAATGTATTGTTCAAAATATAAAACAAATAAGACATGAAAATAGGCACGTTTCCATTAAATGAAAATTTTACAAAAAGAAACTTTGCCTTTAATGTATATATGGTCTGGTACACAGATATAATTTTGTTGTCACAGAACTACAGTGAAATACGTAAATAAAAACTTAAATTCATAAAAAAAAGAAAAAGAAACTTTGCCTTTTCATGTCATTTGAAGGAGAGAAATTATTTAAAGCAATGCTCAAATTAATTAAACATTAACTAAGTGTAGGGGCTGGGAAGGTGGCTCAGTGGTAGAGCGCTTGCCTTGCATGCATGAGGCCCTGGGTTCAATTCCTCAGCACCACATAAGCAAAAAAGAAAAAACCTGGAAGTGGCGCTGTGGCTCAAGTGGTAGAGCGCTAGCCTTGAGCTGAAGAGCTGAGGGACAACGCCTAGGCCCAGAGTTCAGGCCCCATGACTGGACCCAAAAAACAAACAAACAAAAAAAAAAAACCCTAAATGTACTATAAGCTGGGATCATGCCTGCCTGTAATCCTAACTATTCAGGCAGCTGACATCTGAGGATTGTGGCTTGTTTGTTTACTTTAGTTTAGTTTTGTTTTTGGTAGGTCGTAGGGCTTGAACTCTAGGCCTGGACGCTGTCCCTCAGCTCTTCAGCTCAAGGCTAGCACTCTACCACTTGAACCACAATGCCACTTCCAGCCTTTTCTGTTTATGTGGTGCTAAGGAATCCAACCCAGGGCCTCATGCATGCAAAGCAAGCACTCTACTGCTGAGCCACCTTCCCAGCCCTAGGATTGTGGTTTGAAGCCAGCCCAGGCTGGAAAGCCTAGAAGTGGAGCTGTGTCTGAAATGGTAGAGGTCTAGCTGAGAGCAAAGGACCTCAGGGACAGTGCCCTGAGTTCAAGCCCCAGAGATCCCCCCCCCCCCCCCGCAATAGTATTATAGAATGTTTAACTTGCATCACCTTCAAAGTTTATGTTGCCACTAAATTTTTTTTTTTTTGGGTCCGGTTGTGGGGCCTGAACTCTGGGCCTGGGTGTTGTCCCTCAGCTCTTCAGCTCAATGCTAGTACTCTACCACTTGAGCCACAGCGCCACTTCTGGCTTTTTTCTTTTTGCTTATGTGGTGCTGAGGAATCAAACCCAGGGCCTCAGGCATGCAAGGCAAGCGCTCTACCACCGAGCCACCTTCCCAGCCCCAATTGCCACTAAATTTTGTATATAACTTTCTAATATGCTAACAAATTTACTGGATTGAGTACAGCTCTGGATTTCTTCTTGCAAATTCTTCTTTACTTATTCCATCATGGCTTGGATTTCTTCTTGAGAATGACTGATGAAGCATCTCCAATTTGATGAGGTATTAAGCAGTCATCATATGTATGATGTCATTACAATAATTTTTTTTTAATGTTAGAGCTGTTCCTTTTTACATATGGAATGTTAGCTAGGTGCCTGTAGCTCATGCCTGTAATCCTAGCTACTGAGGTTATATGATCTGAGTATCATGATTCAAAGCTAGTGTGGGCAGGAAAGTATGTGAGACTTTTTAATAAAAATTTCATAGTAAAGGTGATGTGTAGTGGTGTTACAGTTGCATATGTAAGGTAATGAGTACATTTCTTGTTGAACAT